TTGGGGAGAGCTCTCTTCCTAATGTGCCTTCTCGTTATGTCCTCTTATGCCCCCCTCTTTGTGCAAAGCAGGGAGAAACTCTGTTCTTGTAGGGCACTAATAAGGGCCCCACCCTCATGACCTCATCTAACCCTAATTACTTCCCAAAGGCCCCATCTCCAAATATCACATGGGCTAGGGCTTCAACATATAAATGGGGGAGAGGGGTAGACTCGAATATCCAGTTCATACAGGGGGCAATGAGGCTTAGAGGGGCAGGTGTTCATTTGAGGAGCTGGATTCCCCCCAGAGGGGCAGGTGTTCATTTGAGGAGCTGGATCTTTGGAGGGTTTGTTTCTCACCAACCTGTGCTAAACCACTTCATATGAGGCATAGACCAGAGCAAGCTGCACACGCATTGGTTTTGGCAACTTTCAGTGGAGAAAACATGATGACTTAAGTAATCAAAATAAAAACTAACAGGCAAAAGAGAAAGGAATCAGTGTTACCAGATATTTTGGATGTTAGCTCAGTTAAGAACTAAATTTAGCTCTGTATCTGCTTATAGCTCAGACCAAAGGAGAAAAATGCATTTATTAATTATCTCTTCTATGTCACACATGTTAAATTCTGGGTAGAGTTCCAGCTTTTACTTACATCTCCTGAACCAAACTGCTATTCCCAAACTTATGCCCTTTAAAGATGAGAAAAGTCAATGGGTTCTTCCCCCCCAGAGCTTAACATTTCATCTCAAGGAGTTTCTAGGTTATTAGGGAAGCAAAACTAGCCATACCAAAAATACCCAATGGGAAATCTCCCTCCCCAACGTATACTAGAAATTTATGAGGAAAATAACACATTTTGTAAAATCTCCAGGTTGGTTTTTTTTGTAAACCAAAAGAGTTTTCTTACTTTTTAGTAATTCAAGTAACCCCAGAGATCCAGCCACTTTCCAGACATTGCTTAACAATGAAGAACTCAGAAAATCACTGATTCCCTGATTCCAAATCAGTCATCCAATTAGGCAAGTCCTGCTACTCAGTGTGTCTACAACAAAAGGAAGAGGTCAGTGTGGTGGAAAAGTCCCTGATTCCAGGCCCAGCCCTGCCGTGAACTACTTGGCTGGGTTCCAATGAGCAATTTATTGACCCTCTCTGAGTCTGTAGTCTTCGTTAACTCAACAACTATTTCTCGAGCACCTAAAATGTGCCAAGCTCTGCATCCAGGTGAAGGGGACATCCTTGCCCTTGTCTGGAGACAAGGGAGCTTTTCAGCTTTTCATTCTGTGACGTAACTGTCACTTTCCTTGTATGGTGCCTTGTCTCTGACCCTCACTAGTTTGGCGCATAACACCAAAACAAAAACATGTAGTATGGGAAGGAACAAATAAGTGGGTGAGTGAATAAAACACAAAAGTTATTTTTAACCACCTCATTTTATGCTGTTTCCTCTCTTCTTAGAATCCCTGTCTAACAGCTCCTGCCCAAGTAGTCCAACTTCAACTTGACCTTTCTTGGCCTTTATCTTCAGGAAAACCTCAATGCATTGGCTGTAATTTGCCCCTTCACTTTTTGGTGTAGTTACTTAGAATCTACTTGATCACTCACCTGAATATTTTCCTATCCCATAAATTCAACAAACACACATTGAGCCCATTATATTTGCAAACACTGGGCAAACCAAGATGCTGGAGAACACAGACTCTGCTCCACATCTTCTGTGGCTGTGCACTGTGATTTGTTCATCCCATGCACGGCCACAAAGGGTATGCCTCATTCCTTTGACTCACAGCTACTGAGATGCCAGGACAGCCACCATGTGCTTTCCAGAAGAGTCTTACATCAGCAAATTCCACCCACCTCTCACCCACCACCTCATGCTAGCCCCCCATACAACAAATAGTTGTTTCTGGTGTAGGAGCAGCTTAAATTTTCCACCCACTTAAGAGCCCATGAATGCTGACACTGCACCAGATGCCTGTGGTACCAATCTTGTACCTCTGTCCGCAGTGTCACTTCCTCACCATTGTTTGAATGATGATTGAGACACCAGTCTCTCCAGAAAGAACTGCTCAAAAAACAAATTTTAAACATAAGATAAATAGCATTTGAATAGCAAGTCAAAGTTAAAAACCACTTCTACACATTATTTTAGTTAATATTCATAATAAAACTTGAGGCTCAGATGTGTAAATAACTGGACCACAGGTCACATCGTCAGTAAAGTGGCAGAGCTGGCATTTATGCCTAGGCCTTCTGAGTCACAATCCCAGAGCCTGTGCAGAGGGGCCATCTGGTCCCCTGTTTGGTCAAGTCATCATAGTCACAAAAAGCCACAAATGTAGCCTTTAAGTGTTAGCTGCAATAGTGTTACACATTGATTTAAAGAGATACCTCATCAGGACTTTTTAAAATGCTTATTACACAATTCTAAATTTGTGGTTTACTTTTGTGACATTATTTTGGCATTTTAGCATCTTATTTTTCAGTGTATTTCATTGAGAACCCAGTGGAAGTCACCCAGGCCT